TTATTTTGAAGGTCGACTGAAACCAGTTCCTGTGTGTATCGTAAAAAGTTTCCGTAGCCATAATCGAGAAGTGCGGGGAGAAAAACATTTAAATGATCAAGTCATGCTGTGGTTAAGTTGGATTAAAAAACCGTTAAAAAGAAATTTTAAAAAAACACTGAATGACGAAATTTAAAAAATTTTCTGGACGTTAAATTTGTTGAAATAGAAATCTTTAGTTTTTGAGATAATTTAGAGGTTTTAGGGGGATTGTTTACAAATATATGATTTATTGATGTGCAATACACGAGTTTTAAACCTTTAATTTGCTTAAATAAAAAGAATTAAAGAGAAATTGATGGATTTTTACGTTGAACCAAACCAAATTTCTACAACATGAAGTTAGCTTTAGTCAGAAAAATTCAAAAAAAAAAATCAGTAATTAACGGTTATTTTACATCATTCAACAGCATGGACCAAACAATATTTATGAGTTAAATAGGTGATCCATCCACGTACGAATAACACAGACATCGAGAGAATGACATTACAATTCAAAGTATATCGTAAATAATCGGAAATGAATGATCTCCTACCGTTATTACATTAAAAATTGAAAAGTCGGTCACGTTCAACAGTGAATTGGATACGATGCATAAACAAAACGTAGGAATTTGACTTAAATGTGAATAAACTCATTACGTTATGTACCGTACATAAATATGATCAGACAATATAAAGACTTGCTATTGAACTTATTATGGCATGGATTACTCACTAGATGTGTAAATATTATTTTCTTTTTATTTTAAAGACGCACAAGAAGCATTTACTGAAGGTGAAGATGATGATGATTGTTTAGTGACAAAACATGTACAAGAAATGCGCAAAATGTTTTCATTTTTCACATAACTTCGTGGCTTTTTGCCAAGTTTTGATGAATTTGACATGTGAAAGAAGAAGTGAATGAATTGAAAATTTCTTTAATGCATCTTTTGGTACGTGGAGGCAATTTATTATTAATGACAAGCTACATGATTAGAGTATGATGTGGTAAACGCATTTTATGGACTGACATTTAATCAAGGCGTGGACACTCAAAAATATGCTGGGATTATTCAGGATTATTGGGATTTTTGGGATTATTTGGGATTAATCCCAGTGTCCACGCCTTGCATTTAATGCATTTTATTCATAATTTTATCGCTGTTCTCAAGATTTAGCCTTAATTGATTTTTTTTATCGCATGCTTATAAATGTTTTGATTTTAATTTGAATGCAGAGTTTGGATTAGGTTTTAATGGAAGTTGTAAGCTTTGTGCTTGATAGGAATGTATGTTGACATTAGAAAGACAGCTATAAAAGCTAAGTTCTTGTAGATATCAATTAAGATGTTAAATATGAATCTATTATTAATAAAAGGAGCTGTAAATGGAAAATTGCGTAGATTAAAAGCAGGTTGAGTTGTAAACGTTTGGAATTATTGACGTAGCTTTACCATACCTTAATGACAATGTTTTGTAAATCATTTAATCTTTCAAGCCACAAAAATGACTACAAAAAGCTCATTTACTTAGGGGTCGTTCACTAATGACGTCCGAAATTAACGGTAATTTTTCAAAAAAGAACAATGGATTTCCAGGAATTTCTATTGTTCTTTTCTTGCTGACTCCCCTTGGACGTCATAAATGAACGACCCCTTAGCAGAAATGCTCTTTACACAAAAAAATGTGTCATAAGACCTCTTCAAATGCTATTTGATGTTGCAAAACATAAAGAGAGTCATCAAGTGAGAGACTAACATTGAGAGATTATGGCACAAATACTGCACAAATATTTAAGCACTAAGATGACGATGACTTGGTATTTTTGCCGATTCAGTCAATTTATTAAATAGACCCAAGACTTTATTTGAATCGATATTTATCGCCTTGTCTTCTTCATGACTGCATCGTCAATTATGGAAAGTTATTAAGCCGATGTGAAATATTCAAAATATCCTTAAAGATTGTCAGCAGCCGTTGTGTATGTGCAGACATTCATTAAGTCTTTTATGGACAAACAATTATAATTGTATCTATAATATTAAGCTAATCCTATTATTTGCCACTCACCCGAAAAAAAAAAGCTTCATTAATAATAAATTAAAAGATATGAATGACCTTGATAAGAGTAGCTTACAATTTTAAACGATTAAACGATTCCCAGACGGGTAAATATTTAGTAAGTTGTAAAAACAATCGAAAGATCCAAGATCGTCTTATTAAAGTCAACTGTCAAATACACAACTTTGTGTAAACATGAAAAAGAGATGAAAATTATTACAAAATCTCGTTTAAGCACATATCATGAGGCACAATGAACTTCGGGCACGCACGATGACTCTTTGGATTTTTTTTTTTATTATTATTTTAATCAAATCGACTTAAATGGGGATAAATAGGTAAATTTACCTTTGTGTTAATCTTTGAATTGCTCGTGTGTTTTTTAATGAATTTTTTAAAGGTAAAATTAGCAATCGCGAGACATGCAATCTTTTAATTTCTATTGCTTTTATGGGAATTTTATAATATTTCATGGGTTTTTTTGAAGTTTTTGATGAAGCTACTTTGGATATAAGTCAAAGAAATTGGTATTAAGTTATTAAAATCAGGCCGAGATTGTTTATGATTCATTCCAGAAACTTATTAGGTCATTGATTTTGAAGAATATATTTTTTTTATCACGAAAAATTTGTAATAGTTGAGTCGTAGGATAATTGGAAGAGCACAAAAAGTATGATTTTGGTAATAAATACTTGGAGTTCTTGATTTGAGCAGTTGCTTTGCTTTTAAAATCAAATCTACTCAAATCGAAGACTCTCTGTAAGCATTGAAGCACACAACTCTCGTATTCTTTTCCTATAGACACCATTCAGTTCTTTCACGTTCTTTCTATCATTGTTAATATAGTATTAAGATCAAAGGTTTTTATGCCGATCTCAGCAGTAACAGTTAACACTGTTGAGGATGGCTTTTCCTTTGCAAAAGTTAAGAAGAGAATAATAAACAATAATAATAATAATAATCATTACTTACTTACTTAATTTCTTGGCTGAGGCGCATGTGGGCCCATTGCAGCGCTTAGAGATCATCTGAAGACAGCTCTATCCTTAGAAACCTTCCGCCAGTTCAGGATATTAAGGACTCTAGCATCCTTTTCAACACATCGTGATCTATTGTCATCTATAAAGTCTGCCACTGTCACTTTTAGTACTGGGGCATCATGTGAGCGTCTGAAGACATGCCCAGCTCATCTCAATCTTTTTATCATTATAAAGTCATAAATGAATCTTTTGCAGTATTGTAGCTCTTGTTTAGATTTATAACGTTCCAATTCAAGTTCTTAAAGAGTTCCTTAATCCAATATTCCCTAAAGCTCTAATTTTGTCTTGATCTTGTTATATTAAAAAGTACAAATAAGTTTCTAAACTTTTGATGAATCTTTAATTTGCTGGGATCCAAAAATCCTTTTAATTACATTCCAAATTAGATTTAAGCATCTTCCAGATAACTTAGGGTTGGGCAGAATCGTATTCAAATATATTCGAATATATGCGCACATTTATGTGCGCACATTATTATATATTCGAATATACATAATTCAAAAAATAACCGTTATTAATCGTGATTTTTTTTAAATAAATGTTTAACAATTAATTAAATAACTTACAACTAAAATATCGACGTATTTAGCTAAAGAAAGTACTTCCATTGCTTTTCCATTAAAATTAGATCTATTTTAGTAATTGTTTAACATGATTTTTTCAATTGAAAAAATTTGATATCAAAGAATATTTGAAGTCGCCTTTTAAAAAATTTTAACGGTCAATAAATATTTGAAAATTTTCCCGCTAAAAGTTGCACTACGAAAACATTAGTTATAGTATAATTACATAATTTGTTCCAATGAATTTCCATGTAGAAAAAGTTTTTCATTTAACGGTCTTTTGAGATTCAAATTTTCTAACAGTCAGTAAGTTTTAGAAAGCTTTTTGCCAAAGGATACACAAAAAATCATTAATTATAGCATATTTAACAATTTAATATCTTTAATTCTCATATATGAATTGTTTATCATTTACAAATTACAGGCAAGTTGAAAAATGCTAATCAACAAATAACGTATTTTTTCATTTTTGAATTTCTAATATTCGAATATATATTCGAATATATTCGAATATTTTTTTGTTCATATTCGAATATATTCGAATATTTGCCCAACACTAAGATAACTCCACAGAGATGCTCATTATCATTTTAAATACACAATTTCTTGTATGATTCTTGACCTGTTTCTACATTTCTCGATGCTTAAATTCTTAATCTCTTTCCTGAATTCAAGCATTTCTGATATTAAAGAATCAAAATTTCTGAGATATCACTTGACTAATTGTAGGATTCAAACCTTAATTTTTAAAGTTTGCCACAAACTTAGTCAATTTAGCTATCAAATCACTTTAGCAACTTATAGCAGATATGCATCGATCACTCGATTAAGATGCATTTGTCTGGAAACACTTTACATTATTGAGAGCAATTTTTTGTACTGTATGAACCCAGTTTTTTTTTTCTGTGTCTGTTCCTATGTAAATCAATTATCATTAAAAGTCATCAAAAGCTATCATTATGCTACTAAAGTTGAAATATTATGATATAATGATGAGGTTACACACACGTTTGACATGTGATAAAGGAAGGGGACAAAGAGGAGAGCCATAAGTTGATTATCTACAGCCAATTCAAAAATCTATCGATTTATATAATAATATTTTAAGTATTTGTCACAAAAAATTCATAATATTAAGCTTTTTTTTTGTAGAGCGTTAACAAAATTCATCGTTTTGGGTGGTTTATAACTATAAAATTATGCACCTATCTAATTAAACATGCATGAGGATAAAGTTTTTGGCTATCATATAAAAAGATGGGCGTGAAATGGTTCATCAAACATTTTAGTTAAAGCCTTTCGAGAGTTCACAACAATTAGTGAAGTGATAAAATATTATTTTAAAAAAACATATTCAAAATGAAATTTGTTGCTATTTTCGTTATTGCCTTTGTTGCTTACTGTAGTGCTGCTCCTGCTAGTGATGCTGAAATTTTGAGTTATGAAGTATGAAGATAATTTGGTGTTTTATATTTGAGTTAAATTGGGATTTAAAATTTGTCAGTTTTCGTGTTTTTTCACAAATTTAAAGGAAAGTCTGCCTTTTACTTGATGAATTATCGTTTATAATTAGTCAATGAGTGCGGCATTTCAACTTAAAGGAGTTTAAAACAACAGATTTAATGAAATTTGTGAAAATATTGAGAAAAATTAATTTGACTTACCTGAAGTTGGCTTCAATTCCAAAATAAATTCGAATTTATTTTTAACGAACTTTTTCTTTGTGAACATTAAATGTCCAATAAGCTACAAATTATTAACAAAATTTATTTCCCACAGAACGAAAACATCGGAATCGATGGATATAAATTCTCATACGAAACAAGCGACGGCGTGTCAAGACAAGAAGAAGGTGTATTGAAGAATGCTGGTACAGAAGATGAAGCAATGTCCGTGACAGGATCAGTCACATGGACATCACCCGAGGGACAAGTAAGGCATTTGTATGATAATAAACATAATGTAATTTAAATTATTTCCTCATTACCTTAATTAGACATTCACACTTACCTTTGTCGCTGACGAAACTGGATATCATCCTGAAGGCGACTTCTTGCCAAAAGCACCAGTAGTTTAAGACACATGACAATAAACATCTCAACATTATTTCCTTGGAAGCATCGCCATGACAGAGCTGAGATTATACATTATTTTGATCAAATGAAGCTAGTTAAGGAATTAACTGATTATTCGTAAGGATCTTCTGTCTTCTATCCATCTTATCTTCTTGTGAACGAGGCTAATCTATCTACAATTTCTTGTTTTCTCAACTATCAAATGACGTAGAATGATGATGAAATTACTGACTTGATTATCATCATTCCAATGCTATGACTTTTACACTCGAGTGTATAAAATTTCCCATTTCATTTCTCACATAGATTTAATTGAAAATTTAGTTGTTAAGAATGCCAATAAAATTGTACTGATGATTACATTTGAAAATTGAGTTTAATTTTTGCTGTTTTATGCCTGAAAAAGGAATAAACTTATAGGAATGACATTAAACCAGAAATTTATTAATTTAAGCAGATGTCGAGAAGAAGTAAAAAATTCTTTTCGATTTATCTCCGACGACAAATTTAAATGCCGGGAAATCACGTTTAGCATTTCTATCAAGCTATTAAATCACTGCAAATGTGAATGAATCGTAGTGAAAATGTCAAGAACAAAGCTTAGGAGATTCTTAACCTGATAATTTGACAAGTTATTCTTCAGAATTTACTGCCAAAAATGCAGGTGTTTGTATTTGTATTCACACTGGGATTTGTTATACTGGACATTTGTCCTGAAAGCAAATTGAGGAGTATAGCAAATAATTCATCCTTAGGCCATGATAAGCACCAGTTTTGTACCTAATTTAGGATTCATCATATGAGTTTGGACTAGCTGTGTTACTAGGGAATGTGAATTATTGATATAATCCAAGATACAGCTCTAAATATAATCATCTATGTTAAGTTTGATTCATAAGCTCCAAATAGCCATAATAAAAATAATGTGAGAGGGTTCCAGCAAAGCGGTATTCTTCCACGTTGGGACGAGCTGAAGGCACTGCGATCCTGATCGATGATAGAATCTATTGTACCGTTCCCTCCAAATAACCATGGTTTTCTACCGAATTATCTAAACTGATCTAAACATTGAGATTTAATCGCTGAATTTTCTGTAATTAAGGAATTAGCAAGTTTAAAAACTTATTAATCAAAAAAATCACTCATTGCTCATCAGATTATTAAAAAATGATTCACAATTTATAAAACTATAGCCTGAAGGCATGTTAATGTAGTCTCAATTAAAATTTAAATGATTATCGTTGTATAATTGCTTAATAAGGTGTTATCTACTTTTTTTGATGTCCTGATTTAAGGGCCGTTCACTTATGACGTTCAGGGGGGGGGGGGGGGGGTCAGCAAGAAAAGAACAATAGAAATTCCTGGAAATCCATTGTTCTTTTATGAAAAATGACCGTTAAATTCGGACGTCATAAGTGAACGACCCCTTAGCTGCTTATCATATTTTTGATTGTGCTTATCAACATTTTTGAAAGAATTAATTTTGGAACTAGTTGCTTCACCAGATTCAATTCAAGTTTATTCGAAATATTTTGTTTATTTTGCTACTTTAAAGACAATGCACTAAAATCAGCAATCAATTGAGGATATCCAAACGAAAAGATTAGAAACTTATCTAGTTTAAAATTTTATGTTTCTTTAATTTTTGCATATTAATCAGATCTTATAGCTTGATGCTCCTATGTAAAGTGTCATTTCAAACTTGTTTTCTTGGAATTCGGTTATAAAAAGATTAAGTCACGTGATCGTTGAGTGATTCTAAATCTACAACAAGAATTGGTATGATAATGAAGACAGATAAGGTAAAATTGATCCTTGACTGATCTTTAAATTGCAGCAAAAACTACTTTTTGAGGATTAATTCAGATTAAATAACTTCAAAGTCTTAGTGTGAATATAGCTTATTCCTTCATCATCCCCAATTTAATTCCTCACCTGACGACAAAGTTGATTCTTTTTAAATTTTCATTTAAAAATAAAGTTCAAAAATGCTAATTTAAGACTCTTAAATTTGACATTAACATTCTGACATTTGTGCACTTTTAAAGCTTAAATGTTGAAAAATGTCTTTACTTTATATGGAAACAAATCATGGTCTGCAGCAATAAATCAAATAATTGACTATTGTCTGAACTTTGAGAATCAAATAATAGATGATGAACATGTCACACAATAATGTTATCTTAATAAAGTCATTAATCATTTGAAAGGAAGTTAATCGTTTTGATTTGTCATTTTAAGCTTTTTGACATGTGACGAGCTATGAATTAGACATACATACAGATGGGATAAATTTGAGGATTTATTTAAATAAGCTGCATCATTAAATGTTTCTTTTAAGGATGTTGCCGATAAATGAGAGACATCAAACCAAGAGATCATGAAGTTGTCAGCAAGTATTGTTCATACTGAATTTCAGGATCAGAACTGAAAATCAAGATCCTAATCTCGAGTATCAACATTATTAGACTTAAAATGCTTTTTCGTACAGCATGAAATTGGATGATGAAATCCAGTCCAGAATTATTTCATAATATTGCTGTGCTAGGTCAGCATTACTTCCAAAAAGACTATTTCACGAGAAATTAAGGCTATAAAAAAATAATCAACAGAAATATTCTGGCAAAAAAAGGCAACAATAAAATAAGTCAAACCGGCTCAATCCAGTCTGATTATGCAAATTAAACAAGCTTCTAGCTGATAGCAAAACCATAACTTTTTGTGTTATTTTCATTGATTAAGATCTTTATTGATAGCTTTAGGATAGAAGAATCATGAAATTTTTATGAAAACATATTTTACAAGCTATCAAGTCGCTCCTTAAAATATATACAGACTGTTGTGTCAGAACATTTTTAATTATGAGGCGTCGTGCACAAATGATGTCGATTATTGCATTTCCTTCTTGAGCTGCTAAATGGCTAGCACATGGAGTTCTGCATCGTTCAAGTCAAGATTACGGAACTTATAAATCACATTTTGATAATTTTTGTTAAATTTATTCCTCATTTTTATTTGTTCCTGTCTCAAAATGCTTAATAAAAATTTCTATGAAATTTGATATTAGCTTGAAGCACTAGAATTATTAAACATCATTTGATAACGACCCCTAATGCCAAATCCATAGTTATATAACCAATTAAATTCATGATAAGCTTCTTTAGTAATTTCCATTTAAATTTTCATCTTTAAAATACCTTGAATAATTCAACAAAACAAGTTATAGCAAAAAAAGATTCAAATCAATGCAAATGAAGTAACTTATCTGGTAGTGTTAACAGGCATTGATACTCGAACTTTTGACAATTGAGCAATAACGAAGGTCAATCAGATTCAATCAATTTTGCAAAAATTAAATATTTTGCATTGACCCAGAATCTTACTTTAAGTCCAATGATTGAAACATGATAGCTCCTTGCTTATATTTCAGACACAAGATACGTAACCTTAATTGATGAAGTGTACAATTTACAGACGACGTAAAGAATCAAGTTCTAAACTCGTCTATCGTACGATGTTAACAATTTCCTGTCCAGACTAATCCTTCGACGACAAAAAAATGATGTCTTAAATTTTTGTTAAATGTCATCGGTGCCAGTTATTCAAAAGAGCATCTTAATTATTCCAAAATATTTGTGCTCTCGTGCTGCTATGTGACATAACAAGCGTTGGACCACTGACCGAAATTTCAAATGATTATGATAATGATCAAGCTGTAATAAAAGAGCTGCAAATGTAAAAATGAAAAAAGTCTTTGATAATTTTTTTTTTGGTCTTCTTTAATTTCTTCAACTAAATTTTTTGAGGAAATAATATTACAAAAGATGGATACAAAGGATTCTTGGAAAGGTGGACTTTGGGAATTTTGTTATATTTCATTTTCTCTTTGTATTAATTTAAGCTGTTGGGATATGGGCAGCTGATGGCTGTAAAATAGAAAGAAAAAAAAAAATCAAATTAATCATCAATGTTCATAATGTTCAGCTAGTGTCAATAATTACTTGGAAACCATTTTCGTCAGCAATGTATGTGACTGTGTAGGTTTGTCCATCATCACCAACGAATGAGAATGATCCACGGATTGCAATTGATTCATTTTCTGATCCGAAGTTGTTGACTACTGCTGATTCCTCGCGCTTTTGTCCGTCTGATTGTTCATAGCTGAATTATTGGAGAGAAATTAATATTATTAATTTTTTTTGCAACACTCTTTAGATTTTTTTAAGGTTATGAAATTTTTCACAGAATGTTTTTGATTATTCTTTTAATTCTTAGATTCTTAAAGGAATTGATTCCTTTTCTAGATTCTCAGAAACATTTTTTAAACACTTTAAAAAATTTCACTAATAGAACTATTAATCCACGTACGCAAAGTTGTATGAGTCTAATCCCAAGTTTTCGAAGTCGCTCTTGAGGATTTCAACATCTCCAGCTGGAGCAGCGAGGGCTGCAGCGACGAGGAATGACAATACTACGAGGAATTTCATTTTGATTTTTTTGTTTTGTGCTTTATCAGGTCTTTCTTGGAAGGATTGTAAGAGAACTATGATGATAATGCAACTAGAGTACGACGCTTTTATAGTAGAATTGGCTTGACTCTATTTGACTGGTGGTCCATATATGCAGATATCAATACTCCCAAAATTCAAACGACAAGTTCGATATCTCGTACAATCGTACAACAACAATACATATTAAAACATAATAAAAAAAAATGAGCAACGAGCCCAATAGCGACAATAAGCATAGGCTACAAGCATCTTCTTCGTCACATATAAAAAATTTTATCATTGGCACTGGATTTTGTGATAGTATTTGAATGACTTCTTCTTTTTTATCATCATCATCGTCGTCGTCTTCGTCTCTTCGTCGCTTAATTGTTCAGGGTTTCTTATTGGATTATAGTCGTATTAACATACTACATCGATACATCGGATGGCTTGAGAGATTGAGAGTATGATCATCGATTTGTAGGTATATAAAATTTGGATCATGTTTCTGCTGATGTGTATATCCACTCTGATATAATCGCTATTTGCTTAATGAAATTGAATAATTTTTCAAGTAAGACTCTTCAAGTTCCCATAGCCCATTCATAAAGTCATATTTAAAAATTCATTGATGAGGATCGGCAAAGAAATGTTTTGTGAAAGTAAAGAGCATGT